CCAAGAATTCAAAATGAAATGTGGCTGAAAACTCATGTTTATATATATTAAAAATTATCCTTCTGTAAGACGTTTAACATTCTTAAGTTAAGGGCATAGCCATTGTAATATAATTTATACTAACTACATAACACCACATTTGTATTTTTTGTTCTCTAATTAACATTCTTATAAAATTTTAAAACTGTATCTACAAATGTAAAATTCACGAAGTTATTGTATGAATTTATGATTCATCATTTCAGATTTTAAACTGTAGAACATACGTACTCTTAAAGGACCCTTTACTTGGTCATCTTGAACCAACTGTGTAGTATTGTCCTGTTTTAGGAGTACCTGAAAAATATTTTTTCACAGTAATTCACATTACTTTTAAAACAATACATGTATGGTAATACTGTAACAACATCTTTAATCTACGCTTTCTTAGCATCCTGTGGTTACTTCTGTTATAATACTTATTACACCGTCTTGTATTTATGCTTATTGTCTCTCTCATTAACTGTGAGCTCCTTGAAGGCTAGAGTGCTCCTTCATCATTATAGGCCCAGCAGTTAGCAAATGTCAATGCATATTACAGGCACTTAATAAATGTTTGCTGAATTAATGAACTATAACTAAGATTATTAAAAACATTTATATAGGAAAATTACTATAAGGAAACACAAAAATGTTAATAGTAGTATTTCTGAGAAGTAAGCTTTGGGCATTAATCTTTTGGTACATTTTTTTATTTCCAAATATTATACAGGAATAATGTGTATACTTCTTTTTGGTCATAAAAGCATCTTAAAAATAAATTTCCTAAATCATTTTTAATACTGTCTTAAAAAAACAATTCCCACTGTATTATTATGCTAATCACTTGAAATCGTCTCAACATGAACATTATGAAAAAGGAGAAAATAGATTATAGCCTAAGTAAGCATAATACCACAAATAGGAAAGATCCAAGTGACAGAAAGTATCTTAAACATGGTATTTTCATGGAAGCACTTTGAAATAATTTCTTATTTTGAGTTATTTCTCAAATCTTAATGTGCTTTTTCTTTAGTTTTATGTATAACAGTGCTGTCACAAAGTAATGGTTCATTAAGTAATAATTTAATAAGTGAAATGTTCATTTGCAGCCTCCCTCCTCCCCAACACTTTTCATTCTAGGGTTAATAAAGCTGTTACATAAAGAGAAAAACAAAATTACCTTAACTTTTACCAGCCTTTTCACAGTCTTAATTTTTGCCTCACAGAAGGCACCTCGGTACTTGGCACTTACATCCGTTCCCACTGTCAGGTAGGCAGGCTCATCAGCCGCCTGATGAAAGGAACATAAAATGTGAATTTCACTACTATTTTCCCATGTTCCAACCTCAAGTCTCATTAAAGGGTTGTGTTTAAAGTAATAAAAATGGTAAACTATTTGCTTATTAATATCATTGATAATTTAAAAAATACCCCAAAGCAAACACTTTATTAAAAATCCTTTATTTTATAAACTATATCCTGAAAACATAAAACATTTTAAATTGAAACTGGAAAGTATCTGTAGGGAAATATAATAATTTTCTTCAGTTACAAAATGTTTCAACAACGCTACATTTAAGAAACTATAAAGAAGAAAAAACAAAAAATATATCATATTAAGTGTCTCAATACTTTAAATTACTCAACTATGGCTTCCAGAAAATTTTGTTTTCAAGTGAAAAGATAATGCTATTAAAATACCAACAATATGTAATTAAGTGCTTATTAATATAGCTACATAAAAGCAACATCTTTTTGAATATGGTACAGATAATGAAGACAAACTTTTCGTAAGGAGAGCATTATCTGAAAAAAATCATTGGCTACAAGCTGTATTTTAAAGGTTAAGTCTGATGAATGCAGAGATATGAACTGATAGCTCAACACTTGTAGCCATACCAGTTTACCACACTACTCTTTTGGATATATATATATGTGTGTGTGTATGCATATGTATATATCTTTACTGAGAAATACATACTTTTTTAGCCAATGACCCTAAGATACATGGAAAGATGTGAGAAATTTCATTCTATGATTTATTTTAATCTTGACAACAACAGAATGATTGCTATCTCAATGTCATTTTACCTATTTTTTCCCAAAAGCTAAGTGTACTATACAAGTTGATTCAACATTGCCAAGTGCAAAAGTTACAGTGTACATGCTTAAGAGATACACTTTTAAGTAGAAAATGATTTTCATTTTCCAGTAAGTTTTCCCAAGTAACATTAAAGGTTATATGTAACCTTTTAAAAAAGTAATATTAAAGTTCACTTTAAGGAGATAAAGCAAGAGAAAATTTGGAAAAATGCTGTATTTCACAGCTTAATACACTGAAACAGTAAATGACTAAGGAATCAAGAACCGCTTAGTGTATTTACAAATAATGCAAACTGAAGAGGAATACTTTTAGCAAGTAAATATGTGACCTGAAACATTCAATGTTATAGCACAACAGACTGCTATCCCCTCCTTTCCCTTTAAACATCACATATGATGTTTGCAGTATTAGTTGCCTACAGAATATACATATATATATATATTTTTAGGTTGGGTAAAAATTTTAAAATATTTATTATAACAACTGAACTAAAACTACTTGTTTTGGTTCACCTTCAAACATTTTAGCCACAGAATTTCACTTTATCCCCAGCAAAAATGGTACCTCCCTTACACAACCCACATATTCTCTCCTTAGAAAAATCACACTGGCACTGGGGAAAAATAAAATTTTCAAAAAAATCCCCTAAAGAACCAAAGCAGGACAAAAGCTTTACTTCTGCAAAGGTTGCTGCCAACACAGGAAGTGTTTAAAAATACTAGCCCAATGGACAACAATGGAAAGGCAGCCTTTCCAAAGTGCTAACTGCCTCAGAGAGGAGCCGAGCTGACTGCATTTTGCATTTAGACACAATGATCATTTTTCACCCATTCAACACGTCCTCCTTTTCAGAAGGCGCTGCCTAGTAGAGAAATCAATTTTGAGTAGCAAAAAAAAAAAAAAAAAAAAA